ATGTTAGTTTCAAGGTCAAGAGATGTGTTCAGTTTAAAACCAAAAAACCGTTTCAGCAGATAAACCTTATTAGGTATGGTTTTATTCAAATAAGTGGTTTCTAATTTTTTTCACAATTCAACAGCAGTCTTTGTTTTTCCAACTTTTCTAAGCTCATTATCAGACAAATGCAGAAATATAGAACTTCATGCAGTTTCCTCTTGTTCAGTAACTTTACTTGATTCAAGATCAGTTGACCATGACTCATCAATGACTTTTGCACATTTTTTGTTGAAGTAAAAGAGCGAGCTTTCATTTTCTAGCACTAGAGACTAAAGTCTCATTTACTATTAAAAACTTCTAGTTCAAATTTTGAAAAAAGCATAATCAAAAAATTTCAATGAAGAATTAATGTATGCAGATCAGGTAGAGCACACCAGAAGTATATACAACAAGTAATAATCCAGATATCAACACTTAAGAGACAGAACTGAATTATACAGAGACTATAGAGTTGTATAAACAATGTTCAGAATTTCACAGAGCTAATTCCAGATAAGACTGTTACAGAACACGTCTTAAAACACAAGAGCAAGTACAAATTATCACAGTTTGCAATATACAATATTAAAGAACATGTGCAGAAGCTTTGTATGAAGGTCTTTGACTCGAAATCAAGACAATCCTCAGATTCCAGACAACTCTTAGGGTTTCTGGACAAATGAATTGCCAAGAAAAGTCTCAGAGCCAAGTTTTTTAAAAAACATTTTGCAAGAACCTTTAAAGTATAAGCAAAAATTTGTACATCAAACACAAAACTGGAACGAACTCACCAAATCCCTTTTATTAGGGTTTCAAGAAATAAAATGAACAAACTAAATTAAGAGTCAAGCTTTAAGATTTGCACAGATCGGAGCCAAGAACCACCATATGAATGCTATGATACCACTGTAACGATTATGTTCAAATAATTGGCAACTTTCAATCAACAAAACAGAAATAAAACTGCACAAATCAACAAGAAAAAACAAGTAAAGAACACGGGATTTTTCGCCCTAAAGCAAGAGGTTCAGAACTGGAGTTCCTAATCCCCTTTTGAGCTTCCGCCCACCGGAAGAAATCACTTCATTAACCAAGGATAAAAGATTGTTCTNTACTCACGAACAACAAAAGTAATGCACAAGAAAAATAAGAAACAGTAAAAGAACACAAGGTTTTTCGCCCTAAGGCAAGAGGTTCGGAATAAATCCTACTCCCATTTTGAGCTTCCGCCAATCGGAAGAAATCGCTATATTAATCGGAACCAAGAAACCGTTTACAAATTACACAAAAGCACTCAGATGAAATTGCCCAAGATTACATCAAATGAAAGCCCTCAAACTGATCGAACAACAATCCACTCAAGGATAAAACAAGAGCCCTTTACAAATCACTCAAGATCTATACAAGAGACTACACATTAAAGGGCTTTCAAATTTTAGAGTGCAGAAGAACGGTGATGATGAAAAACGAACAAAGAGAACACGGAGAGTTCGAGAGAGTATGAGAGAATGAAAAGCCACCCATCAAAAATCAAACCCTAGGTGTAAAAATTAGAAGTCTCCAGAAAGTCGGCCTATCCAACAGCTCATATGGCAACACTTGGTGACATCTCAGCCATCCATCCTTAAGAAAAACACATCAGTTAAAAAACACGATTTCAACCGGATGAAAAACAAAAGCCACCAAATAATCTAAGTAATAATAACAGTCCAGCCCAACAGAAACTGACCCAACACAATAATCCAATCAGCAAAAGCAATCATCATTGTGCCAATTCTTCACACTAAGTTATATTTGAAGGGAGTGTACTTCAATTATATTCTCGTATAGTCTTCCTCTTAAGCCGCCTTTCTCTCTTCCATGATGCAGTTAAGCATTCCAACCAGCATCTTTTAGCATTTTTCCAAATGTTCATTTAGAATAACCCTTTTAAGGAAGAAAGAATGTAGGTGCATGAATTTTGCATCTTCGCTAATTTTGAGTTGTCTCTACTACACTACGATTTTTTACTATACGGTTTCTTAGCTTTTATAGCCAGTGGACTAATATAGGTATTCTAACATGGTTAACTGTTTTTCAACCAAACTCTAGGGATACATTGAAGCCTGAGAAACGTGGCACTTCGCTTAATTCTAAATCTCAAAAGTTGGGTAGTCTCTGGCTTTGGATGTTTAATATTATTTCTGTTTCTGTTCTTGCACTTACTATACAACTACATTGTCTCTCCAGGTGTTTCCAAGTATGCCAGATGATGATTTCATTCAAGACATTAAACAGGACGTGAGGACCCTAACAGTTAATTCGAAAGTATATTTAAGTTTCTGAATTATTCATCGAAGAATGAATCTCATTATGGAGTTTCTCTGCTTCTATATCTTAAATCAAGATTCGTGTTGACTTTCCTCAGGAATTCAAGATTGATTCTGATAATAGTCTCTCACAGATTCCACCAATGGAGTTGTTCAATAAGGTAAAAGTTCAAGTACAATTACTTAATCCATTTATTTAGGAGTTATATGCAAGTGAACATTGTTTTTGTGTTTATTATCACTCAACAATATTTTTTCTCCTCAAATTTTCAGCTTTCCCTGCGGTTAGATATTGAAACCAATGAAGTATCTCAGCCAAAGAAGCAAGTGTTGAATAAGGTGAGTCTGACAATGCTGTGGTCGGAAGATTATTGTTACTGCAAACGACTTGGCTATAATTCTTAGCATGTTTAATGCAGGGTTCGGAGAAGATTCAGGAGAATGTCCCTGGTTCTTTCCAACCTGAATTCTGGGTACGAAATTACGTTTTAATTCAAAGTTTAAATGAATGTTTAATACGGAAAACATTGAGCATTTCACTTAAAATGTAGAAATGTCATGCGAAGCCAAATCAACGCGGAGGTCAGATGAGAGTACCAGAAACTGAAGGATGGTCCAAAAACGGGTAGCATTGAAGTTATGAATTGACAAAGGATCTAAAAGCAAAATGGAAGCCTTTTGATCTTTAGAATAATTTTTATTTCTCAAATATTGTTTAATATTGTAATTAAGCCCCTGTTTGGTATAGATTAAAAATCTCTAAGTCAAAGTTAATAATTAATTTTAGAGTAATGCTTAGGGTACATCACCATTGACATAATGGTCTACATAATTACACGTGACAGCTGATCCAACCTTTAATTCAAATTTCATACTTACACATCAACAAGTGGATGGGTGCCACATCAATATTATGTAGACCATTATGTCATAGGTAATGTACCACTAGCATTTTTCTTAATTTTAACCACACATTTCATCAACTTTGATCAAAATCTACACCAAATGAGGCTGGAGTTGATGTGTCTAGTGTTGGAAAAAATAGAGAAGAAAACTGAATTTCACTTTTTGAATTTAACATCAATATTGAACTGTCACAGACACTTGGGTATCAGCTGAAATCTTACGAATATAGCCTGTCCTTTCTTTGTAGAGCATCAGAGGCTGTTGAATATTCTGGCAATGTGAAGCTTCTTCAGTACTCAGGTCCCTTTACACTGAAATGTATTCTTGTCTATCTTTGGAGGAAATTTCTCAAGACACTATTCTACAAGATGCAGAAGCAAAACAGGCCCCTTAGTAATGTCAAATAGGTTTTTAGGTTTCATATTTTATGTACATTTTTGTCTTGTTAGAATTATTTATTTGTATATTCAAATGCAACTGATAAACTAGAAATGCAATAGTTGAGTGTAAATTGTTTCACTGAATTCATTTATATATCCTTTCTTCTTTTTCCATATAATGATCCATACGTACATATTCAGCCTTTGACAACGTGTGCATGTTTTTTATACTTTACATTGCGCAACATGTTAAATTCAATGACAACAGAAGTCACAAGTACTATATCGTTAGAGGTCACATGTTCTACAATGCTTCCAGAAGCTTAACGGGAAAACAAAATAACGTCACAATGAAGACACTATTTCTTTCACAAATCGCAGACAACAGATCGGTCCATCATATCAGGGACACACAAAAATCAAAATTTTTGTCACGCACATGTATCAATTATCTTTAGAATTGCAGAATAAGATCTTATTTTGAAGTCATGTGCTGTCATAACCTGTCACTTGCGATCACAGCTGGTAAAGCGTTGCGATCACATGGCTATGGTCGGGGGTAACAAGCCTTGACCAACCCTTCTCAATGATCATTGGTCGGTGAGGAAGAAATTCTCACTGTCATCCTCACCGATGCCTCACCGATGATGCGTAGGTCAGGGTGAAATTCTACTCTAAACTTGATTTTGGATGGTGAGGATTTCTTCCTCATTGATGCCTCACCGACGTGTCGGTCTACTCTAAACTTCACAAAATTATACTACAAAGTCATAAATTTATACTCACAACTTCACAAATCTCTCGTAATATTCCGATGGTTTTGAGTTTGATATCCCCCAATACATGTTCATTATTTGGTCTATCACATTTTTTTCTTGTGATTACAGCCGCTCTTTCTATCTTGAAATTTGTGTTTTCTGCCTATGATACTTGTGTACATATACAAATAAATATATTCAATCATATTACATGTATATCATGGTTGACAACAAATTTGACACTCTTCTATATGACAACAATCTACGCCATTAATTTTAAACACATCCATCGAATCACAGCCCAGATTCCTTCCACCTAGGGGGATGTCATCCTTGGTGAGACAATCAATGATTTACATCTAGCTTAATTCTTATATATCACCCTAAGCCATTTATTTGAACCTTGGAAGTAGGACAAATTTAGGACAAGAATGAGAAACATAGCCCTGTATGACAACCATGTTGGATAAAATAACAGTAAAGTGCAGAAAAACTTATCAACAGATCGAGTCTCGTGACAGCACGATGTCCTAAAGCGAAATTGCCCGTCGATAACTGCTGCGACCTCTGTGGACAATCACCTCCAGGATACAACGATCAAATAAACCAATTGTGCAGCAAT